CACACACACACACACACACACACACACACACACACACGCACACACACCCAAGAAACACCTGATTCCAGGTCTCTCTTGGAAATTAGATCTCAATAAGATTTTTACCTGGCTGAATAAAGGACTAATAATACCCACGAACCCACTAATGACACACAAAGACACACACGCACACACTGACAATCCCCGACGGTGCGGTAAGGAGACGTCCCTCTGAAACAGCAAGCCAGGACGCAGCCACAGCGCCCCACAAACGACATGTAGACCCCCGCACCTGGCAGAGTGTGACACAGTGTGCTGTGGAGTGTGAGTGTATATACGGGATGACTATTACTGTATGAAAACTAGAGTGCTGTTGGGTGGGGGATGTGACACAAACACCCCACTGCTGAACAGTAGTACTTACACACATCCCCCAGCCGACGAGAAGAACTTTAAATTGTATTCTGGATTTAACAGGAAGCCAATGAAGGGAAGCCAACACAGGAGGAATCTGCTCTCTTTCTAGTCCCTGTCAGGACTCTTGCTGCAGCATTTTGGATTAACTGAAGGCTTTTCAGGGAGTTTTTAGGACTTCCTCATAATAACAAATTACAGTAGTCTAGCCTAGAAGTAATGCAATAATATGAATCCTACAAAAATGAATACTTCAGTTTTGAATATGATTAGTCTATCTCTATTAACAGGCTGCATACTACAGGCTTTTAAGCTGGCAGTAAATCATTGCATAAAAAGCCATCACTTGACCCAGCATCTTAGCTGATTATAGACCAATCTCTAACCTTCCTTTCTCAAAAAATCTCAAAGATTCTTGAAAGAGTACTTGTAAATCAGCCAAACTGATAATCAGAAGAAATAGTATATCAGAAAAGTTTCCCAATTCTTAGTTTCCAAATTATAGAACAGAAACAGTAAAGCATACAAATTCTAACGAGCTACGGTGGCATTACCTTACTCTGCAGCAGCACTGTGAGGAATCTTGGAGTCATTTTTTAACCAGGATATGTCCTTCAATGTGCACATTAAACGAATATGTGGGGTTGCTTTCTTGTATTTGTGCAATATCTCTAAAATTAAAAAAACATCCTAACTCAGAGTGATGCTGAAAAACCTTCATGGGAGAATTCGAGGCTATATGAAAACCTTTCAGGTGATTTGAAATGCTGCAGGCAAAGTACTGACAGTGACAGGAAAGAGAGCAAATGTCTCTAATGCTGGCTTCTCTTTATTGGCTACCTGTTAAATCCAAAATCGAATTTAAAATGTTTCTCCTCATACAAATTCTTGAATAATGAGGCCACATCTAATGTTAAAGACTTCATAGTAACATATCACATCACCATATCATAGTACCTACACCCTGCCAGTGATCAGATAATCAGCTGGCCAAAGGTGGAGACAGAAGAAACTGACATCAAGTGGCTGGACGAGGATGGACTGAAAGACAGCTAAGAAGCACTGATCATGGCAGCACAGGAACAGGCTCTAAACACAAGATCCACAGAGGCTGGGGTCTACCACACCAGGCAAGACCCCAAAGATGTGCAACATAACTAGGTGGCCAAAATAATATACAGGAACATCTGTGGTGTTTCCTGGAAGTCAAGGTCAAAATGGGACACGTCCTCTAGTGTGGTTGAGAATGACAGAGCTAAGATCAGGTGAGACTACAGATACAGACACACAAACTGGTGATGGCTAACCAACTGGACATTGTAATGGTGAACAAGCTGAGGAAGACAGTGATCGATGTAGCTATCCTGAGTGATAGCAACATCAGGAAAAAGGAACATGAGAAGCTCAAGAAGTACCCAGAGCTGAGAGATGCCAGCTTCTTCCTCTGCAGCTCTGCCATACGTTCTGTATTCTGTTTCCAGTCCACTTACTATTAAGTCATTCATACTGCAATAGCAACTTCTGTTGTTTGGAGATATTAGAAAACTCTCCTGACATACAATATAGAGATTTCTTAATCCCCTCGATCTCATCCTCAGAGACTGTACCCATCTTTGCTCAATTAAGATATAAACAAACACAGTTAACCTGTTTAGTTGTTGCTTAGCAGGAAGTTGACAGTTGGCTTGATGTGTCAGCACTAGAGGGAAGCAATAGAAACCTTTCCCCTTTTGATTGTTACGCTAGTCGGACACCACAAAAGTGTGTTACTTGAGAATGTCAAGCAGATTGTTGATATTAGCCGACCTTGTTGGTTTGTGACGCCAATCAGTTGATAATGTGCAAATGACAAGGCACAGGAGCAAAACATAAGGTGCTTTGTGAAGGGAAAAGTAGGAGCATTCACTGTCCACAACCCTAGTCAGTCTGTCTTCTGCAAAAATGGCTGGAGGCTAATAAGGAAGCCTGGTCCTGGGCTATTGAAGCCTGGTTGTGGCCTGGTGGCTGAGCTTGGTGACTGCTGGAGGATCCTGGGCCTGATGTTGGATAAGAAGGCCTGACTCACGGTCTCTGCTCTGATTCATGCCAAAGGTGTTCCATCAGTTAGAGGTCTGTGCAGGCCAATCAGATGTTTCTACACCAGGGTCACCAGTAAGACACAACACACAAGCTTGTTAAGGTGACCAAAATGCAGCCAAGACTAAAACAATGACTGGTTTCTTATACTAACTCCAGTTCAGCATAATGCATGATCTAACATCACCTTCACAAGAAGAATGACAGATACAAATAAGAATGTGCATTTAGTTAAGTAGACGAATATCAGCAGTTATATTTATAAACCTACTGCCCCGATATCTCGTCTGATCATACAAGTGATAACTCCAGGACACAATATACATTCCAGATTGTTTCCCTTTAAAAACTCTCTCATGCTTTGTGAATACAATGTAAAATGATTCCATATAATCTACAAGTGCCATGCAAAATTCTTGTTACTGAATTTGTGTTTCTTTATACAAACACACACACACACACACACATACCTCTTTAACCTTCCGATGCCTATCCTTGTCTCTGTCCTCAGGGTGACAGGAGTAGGACACAGTCCCCCGGTCCTGTAGAGAGTTGGTTATGCTAGCAACCTTCGACTCGGTAGCCATGGGCTCCTCGTTGAGTGAACAGGAAGACCTTCTGAATAGCATGCCTTTCTTCACAGCCTTAATCCCAAGAGTGTTGCTATTACTCCCATCTGAGCAACACCACTCTCCGACATATCCATTGTCTGTTTTCACATTGTGACCAGTGGTGTTGCACTGGTAAACATGGGGTGAAAGAGCAGTACTGTTGAAATGTGGATGTGGGTAGGGTTGAGCCTTTGTCGGTGTGGCATTGGACCTGGATGATGATGATGATGCTTTCTCCCCGTGCCTCCCATTGGCCTCAGGCTCCTGGATCTTTTCATCCAGTTTGTTGAGCTTGGAAAGTACCTGGGATATTTCACTGCGAACCCCTGACAAAGACTCCAACTTCTTCTCAATCTCACCAATTCTCCTCACAAGCTTACACACACTTGTCTTGAGCTCATCATCAGTGTTTTCAAGTGAATGGAACAGGCGGTCTACCTTAGACTTGGCTAATTTGACTGTGTTGCATTCAGGGGAGCTGTCACCTTCTGACTTTACCTGAGACAGAGACCCATTACTATTGTAACATGATGACTGAACAACACCCAGAGAGTCACAAACACTCATATCATCCAGAAAACGAAAAATATCACTTATGTCATCACTAATGACCTCACACTCCTCAACTGAGCGTTTCAAACCGTGCCTTTCGCTGTCGTTATACTTAGATTGGTATTCTTTCAGCTTCTGTTCAATCCGCTCAGTTTGTGTTCCAACACTAGAGGCGCTTTCCCCTTCTTGAAAGGATGCATTCTTCGTATTTTTGTCCCCAAACCTTTTGGCTACGTCTCCATTGTCCAGACCTCCGGGTCCCCTACCCATCAGTGATATATCCTTGGGTTTTATTTCAGTACTTTTCTTTGCAAAGCCAGGTGACGCTGATACCTTTTGCATCGGGGTGTGAAAATATTGCTCACTCTCAGTGGTAATAATGTTACACTGATGGTTTTCTTTGAGTGGTCTGCTGCTTTGAAAAATCCTTTCTGAAACAGGAGGGCCCTCTTCTGCGTTGAGACTGAGGCTCTTCATGGGCCATACTGGCTGTTTCCCTGCTTTGTTAATGTGCTTCTTGCTACTAACACACTCAGAGACGGTGGTTGGACCAAAATAAGTTGACACCTGTAAGTCATCCAGGCTCTCGTGCTTCACCCTCCGTCTGTCCTGTAGGGGGGAGTTAAGTGGCGGTTCAAAGTAGGGGTTACTGTAGGGCAGTTCGAAGCTACGGTTGAAGAAGGTAGCAGGCTTACGTAACTCCCTATTGTGGTAACCTTCAGCAGCCTTACTGCCCTGTTTGCCCTCACTGGTGATGACCTGCAATAATAACCAAGACAAAGATGGAGTTGGCTTAAAGGCACAAAAATGCAGCAATTATCAATCATAACTCGGGGATTAAGAAAGTTTAGAATTATGAAATAACACAATACTACAGAGAAATCTGGGCAATAACTGATTTATAAAATACAAATGGACTAATTTGAGGTGTAGAGAATCTAGTCACATCATCCATTATGTTACTATTTTTTAGCACATCAATCAACTTTAATTACAAGACAATAGAGGTGTCAGGAACATCTGTATCAATAAACTGTACAAAACCGTATACAAAACATTTTTATTATACTATGTGTGTGTGTTATTGACAGGACATCGAATCTTTCATGTTTAGTTCGTTTAGAATATTTGGGATGTGAGATTATTAAGATAACACTATTATTCACTAAATCAAAGCAGGTATTGATAATAGTGGGAGAAAATAAGTAAATATTAAAACACACTCATGTGTGTTGTACACAAGGTGCCACTTTAGCTCAGTGGGTGAGCAGGAAACCACATGACCGGCGGGCAGCAGCCCAGGTGTATGACCTGTGGCCTTGTGCTGCATGTCCACCCACTCTCCCACTTTCTGTCTGTCTTTACTGGTTCACAATTTTAAAAGAAGCAAAACATTTTCGACACGGTCAGTTCAGGGAGCCAGCATATGATTAAGGGTCGCAAAGGGGAAAATGCACTCACTCAGTACTTGCATATTCTTTATAATTTGTCTGTTCAGAAAATGGAGGCTTAGGTTAGCACTTGTTGTTTTTGTGACAATGAATATTTCATTGGGTGGCTGTTACATTTCCTGACACCAGCTGTATTTGTCAGTGTGAGGAATGTTTACTTTGCTAAAGCAGAAGAGTCAAAGTTGAGGAGAAATACTTGTGGTGTCATATCATAGTATTGTGTTGTTTGGCCATCAAACTAGTGAGCAGCAAAACATATGATCAAGGCCACCGGCCTGTGGGTCACACTTTAACAACCTTGTATTAGGGCTGGGCCATATTATACCGTTCACGGTAATACCGGTATAATGTTAGGCAACGATAGGAAAATGAAATATCGCGATAGAATATGAGTAAAACGCGCATGCGCAGTGCCTTTGTTTTCATACGCACATGGCCGATTGTTGAGTGAAACCAGAATTGGTTTGTAAAAACGGTGCAACTTCAGTGATGTGGAACTGGTTTGGTGTTTGTCCGTCAGATACACGACAAAGCACATTTTTTTGCAGAACATGCAAGCGGCCGTCGTTATTGTCGTATTTGTCGGACTAAGATGCTCTTAAATCTGGGAGTAATCTGGGTCCTAAACTCCGTATGCCTCAGGTCAAACAACACTGCAGCATCACTGAGAGTTAAAAACTGTCTAAATTCTTTCATCTTTAATAAAACGATCAGCATTGCTGCTTTACCAGGTGTAACTATGAAGTTTAACTTCCAGGCATCCATGAAAACAAAATTTATTACATTTAACGGAGTTAGAAGTTAGCAGGAAGCTAGCGGAAGTTAGCTCGCTAGTTTCGCTAGTTACCTAAGCATGATATAGCATGTTCTGACTGAGAGATTTCTGAAAAAATTCAAACGTACAGCTCTGCTATCACTTCCAACATAAATGAAGACAGGAAACTAAACAGCAGTGACGTTTGTAGGGTTACTGAAGTTGGGCTAGCTGGTATATAATGATGTGCTACGTGATCGCTAGCGACACAGCTATGTTAGCATAATATAAACAGTGAAGCTGGAGGACAAACACTAACACTTTTCCACTTATAAAAGTTAACGTGAAGGTTCTTCATGGTTAGAGACAAATGCAATCGCATGGCAGGATGCTGTAAACGGACCAAACTTCAGTCAGGAGAACAACTGAGATAATCCATCCACAATACCAGGTTAGTCATTAATATACTGCAACAACATGGGAATAGAGCAGCTGCCAGAGAATTCAACGTTAATGAATCAATGTTACAGAAGTGGAGGAAGCAAGAAGAATGAGTTTAATAAAGTTTGATTTATCTGACTGCTTTGTTTCGCTTAATGTGCCTTATAATCCCGTGCACCTTATGGTCTGAAAAATACGTACTGCACACTGCAGTTTAATGTTGCAAAGCAGCTCTTTTTAACTTCAGTGGATATTATACATGTTTATGCTCAGGATATGTCAGCCCATTTCTACTGGAAATGCCTTTTGGTTAAACTTTCAGCAAGGAATTTGCATTTGCACTGTTACATTTTTATAAAGCTTTAATGTACATAAAAAACAGCTTCTTGTTTAAGTGAAAATAAATGGAAGGTTGTCTTTTTGCACTAGTAATGTTGTGGAGTTGTATTTTGTCTCGCATCAATTATATTGTCAGTTATATCATTATCGCAAATTTTCAAATATATATCGTGATAAATATTTTTGGCCATATCGCCCTGCTCTACCTTGTATTATTGTTTTTTTTTCATCACTGCATTTCAGAGGACGTAAATAAAATGCCCATAACATTGCCTTCAAATTTTTAAAAATGTTTTACATATATGTTTATGTGTTTGTGTGCATTTTTGTGTGTCTACAAACACGGGTTAGGGTATAATTTAGTATATTTAAATTGTGAATCTCCAATAGACTATTCAACTCAAATGAAACTCAAATTTCCATTTCGTTTACTAAACTTGTGTACCATCTCATATGTCACCTGGCCGTCTCCCTATAGACATCTGTCTCAGTAATTCCTTTCAACAGCACTACAGCACCCTAAAAACACAAACCTGTGGTGAAAAAGCCACAAAATTGTGAAAATCCTTCTTAAAATCGTTTCTCTTCTGGATGCAAGTGTGAAGAGAGAAGGGCTCTGGATGTCCCATGTTCTGCAGGGACTCCTGGTCAGTGGTGGACTCAGTGTCTATGTCCATAGGAAAGTAGGTGCTCTGCATTTCACAAGGTGGTGATGGTGGACTGCTGCTAGAGTACTGAGGCAGATGATGCAGCTTGTCCAGAGAGCCTGCTCTACATTTCATGTCTTTCCTCATGCCCAGGAGGAAGTTTGGTCCTGAGGAGACAAGAAAGCGCTGCCGGCTGTTGCAATCAGAGGAATTAGCACAGGGAGGGGCGTTCTGAGCCACAGGATGCTGCTGAGAGTGGTGATGATGGCGCCCTTCCCTGGGGTGATCCATGTGCTCATAACCGATCCCCCTGTCACAGTCCTGATACTTAAGGTGATCACTGTCAGACCTGCAGAACTCCACTGACTGACTCTTGTGAAACGTGGCTCTTTGAACTATAGGAAGCTTATCTTTGGCTATTCCTCCATTCATGTGGATCAAATTGAACATGGTGACAATGTCCGCTGCAACCATGAGCTTTTTGGACAGCGGGTCCTCAGTGGAACAGCGCATCTTGTCCTTGAAGAGGGTGGCTGGGAAGGCAGGGTCCAGGCAGGCTGTGTGGAAGAGCAGGCTGCGGAGCTTGGCCAAGTGCACTAAGTCAAAGCGAGCACACAGAGACTTGCACAGGTCCTGGTAGGACATGGTGGTGTGCTTGGTGTCCAACTCTTCCAGGATCCGAACCAGGAACAGAGAATACTCTGGGAGGGAGTCCATGGCTGCTGGATGGCAGGAAGAAAGAATCGGTTCTTCCTCAGGAGAGGCTTGACACCTGGAAACAACACAGTCAAATGTTCATTCTGTGCTAATCTGGTTTTCTGTGAAATAAGACACATAACAGAATCAAACAGACACAATGCAGACAGGCCACAGTCACAACAACGAATATAATGGACGAAAAAGTTAACACAATTCCTTCCCATCCAATCGATAACCTACATTCTGACAATAACAGCAATAGTGACATGTCCGTCAAAATAAATAAATACAAATCAACATTTCACGTTTTTAGTTGTATTCAGGGGCGGATCTACTGCGGTGGCAACTAATCTCTTGTCATCCTTGTGCCATTGTAGTTTTGCATATGACAGTGTTGTCTATTGCAGTGAGATTTTAGATTTCAACACTGTAGAAATGGAATGAAGGTGTGCGGTATTAACCCTCTGGGGTCTACGGACACGTCATCGCCTCCAAATCACATGACCAATTTAAGATAACATAGCAACAAGATGCAGACTGACTGAGTCGTCATTTCAATTTCCTTTGACAGTTCAGACTTCAAACTACATAGTAGTTTTTAAATTGTGTTAATACGCCATGTAAAAACAGAGTTATATATATATAGACAATGCTTTTTTCTGAATACTATCATCACGTTTTGTGCAAGAAATTGTAAAAACTGCATTTTCTAAGGACAGCACAAAACAACAACATGAACAACAACAACAAAACGTCACTACTTTCCTATTGGTGGGAAAATGTACCATGTCGACCTTAGGAAGGTGAGAGAGCTTTGGGAGTGACGATGGTGAGAGCAAGTGAGCGAGAAAGAGGAAACATCAACAGTGTGGTTTGAGATTTGAGAGATTTGTGACATTTAGCGTGTTTGGAGTGTACAGTTAGTGTATACTGTAGTCATTGTTTTGTTTTGTGTGACACTGAGGGCACTGCTGGATGTCACAGTCGCTGCCAAAAAGTCATCAAAGGCAGATTGCAGTGTAAACGCTGTCTCCAGGTGGGAAACAGGAGTGATACACTTCCTGTTGTCATACCTGCAGGTTTCAGGAGTGTGATGTGCTCCTCTGTCTTGTGGTGGACAGAAACTATTTTTTGAAGCGGCACAAATAATTTGTGTGGCATCTTATTGTGACACCTGATTGTTGTGTAATTTTAGTTTTAGTAGTAGGCTCAAATAGTTGTACAGAAAACACAGAGGCCTTGGCTGCATCTTTAGAAAAATAGTTGTTCATAACTTTATTGTATGCAAAAATTGTGCATAAGTTTTTAAAATTCACAGTTTTCGCTAAACATGTTTGTGGCCTTTACAGTAACAAAATACAACTTTCTTTTACTCAGATTTTGTGTTTTTTGTGTGATTTTAGATTATTGTGCCCATATTATACTATGACAGTATGCCAGTGAAAACATAACTGTAAATTCAGCTTGTGCTGAAATAAAAGATACCACACAAGACAAGGTAAATAATTTTTAAAGGTGAAATACAAAGGTAAAATGAAAAGCAGTCAAAAATGGCCAGTTATACCCTGGCCCTCAATAAATTATGACAAATTAGGTTTAAATTTCAGGTGAAAAATCTTTTCATGACAGTGCAGATTTTGTGTAAATGTAACCTTGTAACCACGTGGTTATTTCTAATTTAACTAAACCACCTCATGTTGTGTAGATTTCTGAATTTTGTACTTATTGGGCTATGTTTATTTATTATACAGGCTATACAGTACATGAAATCTACATTCACTTGTTTTATGTAACAGATATTTTCCATTTGTTTGGGCTAAAGAAAATAAGAACCTACGAAACGTGTACATTTACTGCGTTTGACGTATTTTAACCATATATAATGCATATTACAGAATGTATGTAAAGAAATTGCTTTTATTTTGCCACCCCATTTGATTCCTATGCCACCCTAAGAAAATTTCTTTAGATCCGCCCCTGGTTGTATTTGTACAAAAATCACTTACACGGACTCACTGTGAACAGAGCTGAGAATCATCTGATCAGCTGGGTGCGGGATCGAAACGGCACGGCGCTCGTTAGAGCCAAAAAACGGGAAAATGAATGGAGGATCATCTGGATGTGAATCCGCAGCGCGCACCCCGCAGCATCCAAAAACGCCTTCAGCCCGTTACATTATCCGCCAGCCTACAGAGGAGCAAACCAAACCCACACGCATGACCACAGCGAACTGTGAACACAATGACATTTAGTGTCCCGGTTGGTTTAAACGTTAAACACGGATCCACGCTCCTGCCCACGCAGAGCGGGCTGTAGTGAATCCATTGACCTACGTTTTCCCTCCTGGTTTACTGCTGACTACAGCTGTGGGTCTGTCGCGAAGGGCCTGGGTGGAAATTCAAACTGCCTGCTGTGCGAAGCCTGAGTACTATCAAATTAACTGGACACCAACAGCACTGATTTCCGCTTTCAGAGGAAAAGCTTGAGAAGTAACACAAACACAAAAACACGTTTTCACTTAGAAGCAACAATTCTGATCAGCAGCAAGAATTGCATCAGCAGTTTGATTTATCTTATTGCTTTCCAGCAACGTCATCAGTGTTTTTAATGCATTCATCTATTTGTTTGTTTGCATTTCAGTTGAACTTTGCTTAATTATAGCAGATTTTATCTGCCAGAGACCCATCGTTACAGTATTTAATCGCTCCCTTCATGTTGTTTTGCAGTAACAACATCGCTTTGACATGTAATGTAGCACCCGAAGAACCGCGTTGAAAAGATGCGGGCGTTTATTTTGAAGGCGGAGAGTCGTATTTCCGTTCACAGACTGGGTGATGCTGTGGGGTCGCTGCGGTTCTTTGTTTCTACTCAGAATGATGTAACTACACTTAGCATCCGACACAATATGCCGTCTGCGATCTCACACGCGCTATTATTTCACAGGATGCTACACATCTGTGACTGCTGACCAGTAATCAGTGTAGGAAAATTAATAAATATACAAACAAAAGTGTCATACGTATCTCATTATTATTGAGAAATAGTGCGTTTAGGTTGTTTGTCGCTGTTTTGATTTTTTGTTTTGATTTTAAATCAGTGTGTCACACTAACTTTTGTTCCTTAACCATATGCAGTGTACATTTGATCTGCAGTGGGCTGGTCCAGTAAAACCATTGTACATAACCAATAAACATGAAGCATGCTTGAACAGGAAAATAAATAATATGTATTTTGTGCCGTGCAGTGATCGACATTAGGGTTTGATTAGCACGTAATGTTAAAGTTCTTGTTACATTTAGTGAGCTATTTTAACTCTATTCTATATTTGAAGTATTTTTAAATGTACAAATATTTTTACTTTCTCTGAATTCTCTTTATTTAAATTAGTTTGTACCTTTTAAGATGTCAGTAGGCATAAAATCATCTATTTATTTAAGCTTTTTGCTATTTATGGAGGACAACATGACTGCGGTATGACACAAATGTGGGTGTGTCCTCATCTCCCAGAGGAGTCCAAATTGTCATCAAACAGACCAACAGACAGAAAAAAACATTTGAAAATAAACAACCAAACTATGAGCTGTGATTTAATTACTTTATGATCTCTGTGGAAATTTCTTCCACATCATTTACTGTATATTTCACAGCACTCAGGTACTGTAGGTGCAGTGAATGCTTAAACTGTACTGACTGGAATGACATTCAGTGACATTTAGTATACTTTGTTGGGATTTGGCTGGGTTTTGATGAATTCATCATCCAACTTTTGAGTATTACTTTTCAAACTGAATTAATAAAGACAAGCATCATGTAAAAACATAAAATAAAACCACACATTGTCTTTGATCATCATTTATGAATCTATGCACTCACATATTAAAATTAATTAACTTAAATCAGTAGTGCCATCTCCGGTCTTGGCAGAGGGCAGTGATATAAGGAATAGGAGAACTGACAGCTATTCTTAAAAAAATAAAAATAAAAAATCCATTTACCTATTTTTTAAAAACGATTTTGGAAATCGGAAAATGGTTTTTGAAACGAGGTTTTCATTGAGAGTTTAATTCTTTTTTGTGAAATTCATTAATTAATGGATCAATAATTCATCCTTGTTTACAGGAGGTAAACAACACAGACTCAAACACAGGCTGAGATAACACAACTAAGATCACTGAGAACTAAAGAAACCCAAAAACATGAACAACAATAATTAAAGAATTACAAAGACTGAAACACAAATACTGGATCGCAGTTTCAGTACCGTGAGAGTAACAGTGTGTTTTAAACAAGACTTAAAAACAGCCTGGCACTTTTCTGTCACCAAGTGGGTCACAAATCTGGGACACTGTTAACATAAAAATCACACAGCTGCTCAGAGTGATGTCAGGATGCAGGATGGTTGTTTCTTTTTTCTGCTCTCAAATCGTGTACACGTGATGGTGTACCTGTATCTTAAACGTTTCTCCCTATATACTCACTGTGTTGACCGACAGCTGTGTCAAGAAGTGTTTGAACCTTTCCTGATTTCCTATTTTTTATATGTTTATCACACATAAATTGATGATCAGCAAAAAATGTAATTGTTAGACACAAGTCAACACAAAATGCAGTTTCTACCACCAGCATATCTCACTGTTTATAAGTGAATTCTAAATTTACGTGGCGAATTCTAAAATATGAAAAAATGTCAAATTTCAAGATTTACATTTAGTCTTAAAAAAAGACCACTTTCTAGGCTTTTCCAGAATTTTCAGCTGCACGTCACAACCTTTTAATCAAGTTTCAGGCAAAAATGTTCATAAATATAAGAGATACTTAAATCACAGCATAAAATATTTTTAATACTTACATACAGTATTCTTCATAGAAAGTATAATTTTCATTTTATTAAATTAACCATCTATGACACGTCTTTATGCATGAATATACAAACAAATGCATGCATACACAAATACCCAGCTCTCAATCAGCACGGTGAAAAACACTTACTATTGAAATTTTATTAATCAAACATGGTGTATGTGCAACTAACAAAGAACAGTACAAGAATAATAAAGAATATTTATACCATAAGAAAAAAAGTATTGTCAAAACAATGGTATCAATCCACCAACAAATAAAAGCAGACAGCCATTAATTGTAAGGATCATACACAGACATAATCTGAATTCCACAAATGTGAAACAAGTTATAAGATAGCACCATTCAACCAACTGTAAAACACGTTTATCATATGATGATATACACACCAACACGCATGTGTTCTCCCTGACTGTATAAGGGACATGAACTGGCATTCATACAGCACCTTCTAGTCTTACAGCTAAAAGCATTAAAAACCCCATAAAATTCATCAAGTATTACATTTTTTGGCCATTTGAGAAAAAATATTATATCTGGCTATTTTATCTGGATAGTAATCACACTAGTAACTGATGTTCTTTTGAGCACCTCATACTGAGGAAAATAAGTGCTTATAACTTTTGATTGGCAGTTTTAAAAGAGGAAGAAGCAGCACCAGTGAGGTTTGAACAGGCTGAACAGAATTGTCAGCTGTGTCTACAACAAATACTGGTTCTGACTTGTGTTTAGCTGTATATGCAACTATACAGGTTAACTAGCTTCAGGTCTTGGTGCATCTAATCAGATACTGCTAGTGAAATAGTTATATTCTTGCTCCTGATCACTACAGGCAGTTTAAATGATTGAATTGTAAAATCTTACTATCAAACTAAAAAAGATTAGCTGACCTAATTCCTTTGCACAACTTTATAAAAACAAAAACTACCAGGATCAAAATTGACAGCAACTGCTATCACAACTAGAGATCAATGAGGTACATGAACGCTACGGCAAGGGGAAGCCAGGACTTTAGGTCAGGACGAGATATTGTGATCCCCACCCTCTGAGATGGATACCAAGCCCCCCCCAAAAAACTGATGCGTTCAAGGTGTTCAGTATGGCAGCTGGAAAACTGGACCCTTTTGGTCGATTACCAAGAATACGTGAAGTACGCTCTCAAGGTGTGACCATCACCGAAACCAACCAGCTCTGAATATCTCAGGCGGCAGTAACTTGAGAAAGAAGAAGAGCAAGTAGAGGAACCATTTTGGAAGGCACAGAGGCACTAATCATGTCTGCACAGGAACAAGCAAGATTGATAGAGGCTGGGATCTACCACACCAGGCAAGACCTCAGGTGCAGGCTGTGCAAAGAGGTCCCAAGATGCTAGCAGACAGGGCATGGCTGGCATAGTATACAGGGATATCTGTGCCAAATATAGCCTAAAGTCCCAAGGTCAAAATGGAACACCCCCCTTAGGGTGGTGGAGAATGACTGAGCGCAAACCAAACACTACCAGAGCCCCAGAATTTGTTTTCATCGTTATCTGCTACATGAGCTTTCCACACCCGAGTAAGATCAGTGTGTCTTCTATTATAAGCTGGAGTGATTCAGTAGAGTTCTACAGTATTTTACAGTGGCTCCTGATCATAGGCACATATTACAGTAATTTATTAATACTTACATAATGTTACTTAAACATTAAAAAAGTGACCAATGATTTGAAATTTGCTATATAACAGAAACAATACAAAAGAAGGAGAGGGGAAAGTTCATGCTTACTCTGAATCACATGTTATTTAGTGGACCTGCCAGGTTATTATATAACACACATTTGTCAGTTGCTGCGTACAATAAAGTTTGTTCTTTGTTTTTGTCTACAGCAAGTAAAATATCAGATATTTTCTAATGTGCATTGAAATTACAAGCTAAATATTCTTGTTTCCAGTATACATTTATGTATACTTACCTTTTTTGTTTTAAATAAAAAAAAACCCAAAGAATTTCTGTAGATTATTTATCAGTATTATATAACATTTAAAAGGGAGTATGTGCTTTTGGTTATTAGCGCTTGTGCAGTATTTTGTTAGCATAAAAGACCCGACAGGTTTCACAGCATCGTTGGTACCACCTCATGTCCTGACAAAGGTCTTTATCCCGGATCACATGACAGTACACTGTCCACCTGTCCCCCAAGCACTTGTAGGTCAGAGCAGCTGTTGGGGTGGAAGAGAAGAAAGCAGCAATTCAGTATATTTAGCAGATGTGAGAGTCTTGTTAAATGTTAATAAAAGTGTACTTCATTAGCAATGCCTTCCCAGCAATCAATCGTATCTTTTTACCAGTGTGACAAATTGAGTGGGATCATTCCATTTTTGTTCTAACAATGTCCTCCTAAGCATTTCTTTTAATTCCCCATTATACTACTTTTGCTTGTAATTAAATTATATTGCCAAAAATGTTAACCCACCTAAATAATTGATGTTCTAATCACTTCCACATAACCACAAGCGTGTAAAGTTAAGCAGCTAGGCATGTAGAATGCTTCTACAAACAGGAGTTCATTGAATTCCAGCATGGTGCTGTGATGCGATGTCACCTGTGCATCCCATCGCAGCACCATGCTACTAAATATTCCACAGTTAGTGGCAAAGCAGAAGTGACTGTGAATGATAGCAACTCAGCCATGAAGCGGTAGGCCAGCATCCAAGGTCAGTGGATACTGAGGCACATAATGTGCAGGGGTAGCCAATTTTCTGCAAAGTTGCTACAGACCCCTAAACTTCATGGGGTCTTCAGATTAGCTCAATAACAGTTTGGGTTTCTATGGTCGAGCCTTACACCACCAAGTGTAGAGCAGTAGAGGCGTGTTCTCTGGAGTGTTGAATCACGCTTCTCCATTTCAGGTTACCAGCTTTGTTGGAACAGTTTGGGAATGCCTCCGTCCTGCTCCAACATGACTGTGCACCAGTGCAAAAAGCAAGGTCTATAGAAACATTCGCAGAGCCAGTTTGGTGTGGAAGAACTTAACTGGACTGCACAGAGTCCTGACATCAACCAGACAGAACACTTTTAGGAACTAGAGCATATACTGAGAGCCATGCCTTCTGTTTGATCTGAAAAATGAGCTTCTGAAAGAATAGTTTAAAAATTCCCATAAGCATACTCCTATACCTTGTGGAAAGCCTTCACAGAGGAGTTGAAGCTATCATAGCTGCATAGGGTGGGTCAACATCGTGTTAAATAAAGAATGGACTGTAACTCAAGTACATATGCATGTAGAGATGGAATTGAGAACTAGAGATGGCACGATACCACTTTTTTATGTCCGATACCGATACCGATATCATAAATTTGGATATCTGCCGATACCGATATGAATCCGATATAGTGTTTTTTAATCAACAAAACTGTTTTTTAAATATCTTGCTGCATTTTGTATAAGTTCATACTCAAGTTTAAAACACCAACTACACTAAAGCTATTCTGTTATACCTGTATGCAAAAAAATATTTCATAGTTCAGCAATACTGATCAATCTAATAAACTTAAACCTACACCATCCTCCCTATTCTGGTATTTTAAAGAGTACTTAGCGTAAATATTAAGCAACCTAACTAATAGGGTTCCAACTCCCAGCAACAAAAATAAATAAATAAAAAATAGGGAACCACTCCTCACGCTCCACCTCATGATGCTTAATCGACGTAATCAACCTTAATTTGATGCAGCGTGAAAAAAAATACACAGAAATCAATTATTTTTCAAGAAATATTAAATAGATTCAACATCTTTCTTCAACAAAATTGCAGACTGCACAGATGGTACCTTCCCAAAGGAAAAAGTACTATAGCTTACTAGGGTATATTAGACTTAATAGTTACTATATACAATAATGGACTTCTATTCATTTTGCATCAAATTAAAACTTTGGCTGTCAGATAATTATTTATTAAAAGCTCGACATTTTAAATGAGAATAAGAAAGAAAAGTATGTCTTTGTGCCCCCTTTTCCCTGTTCATGCCCTATCGGCCCCCCTGGCTAAACTTTGCTAGATCCGCCCCTGCACAGTTACAGCCGTCAGCTACGTAGAAAAAGATCCTGGAGTAGAAAGTAATAATAAATAAATTCTAACAACAGCTGATCAAGCTTAAACGTGCTGCTGTTGTTCAGCCGCTGGTTTCCTCTTTCTGGTGCAAAGTGGGCCAAAAACAAACAAGAGAGACGGACTCACGACAGAAAAGCCGATCAGCTGATCATTAAGCAGTTTCATGATTGAAGTAGCAGCAAGAAGAGGCAGTCGCTCCATATTTCGCTTGTTAAGCTTAACGCAGGAATGCTTTACAAACATTCAGAGATGGACTTACGCACTTGCTTTACTTCTCTCGGGATAACTTTGTCGGAGATGAAATGCCGGGTTGCTAGCGAAGCTCCACATGCTATCCAGACCACCGACAGGTCCCGCATGCCACAGCCGCTCTATCACCTGATGCATACTGCTCCAACGTGCTAACGTTCTGAGGTGAGTTACGGCGTGTTGCAAGTTTTGTGAGGTGCTTTCGTGATATTTAATGGATCGGATTACATTTTTTATTTTTCTCCGATATCCGATCCAGTAATTTAGGTCAGTATCGGACCGATACCGATACGTAATATCGGATCGGTCCATCTCTATTGAGAACCGGTTCCCAGTCGTCCAACTCCTTGGAACTGCTATCAATCTTATTTACCGGTTCAATTTGCATATGCACTACAATCAGCTGATTTCAATTCTCACTGGCTCAGGCTACAGTATGGATGGGGACATAACTTTCATTTTTATTGCACAAATGGATAAGAGCATGGTAGGTGGAAATTGCATCCAGGACAGAAACAACTCCATTATGCTGCAAACACACATTTGGCTCGTTGCAAGCATCTGGACAGGCAGCATGCTAATGCTAAGTTAGCCAGCTAGCATGCTAACGCTTAGCTAGCCAAGAACCCAGAGTGACGCTAGAGCCGAGTGTTTGCTTACACTAGCCCAACAGCCAGACGCTGAACTTCACCAGGTAACACAAATAAAAGAGCAGTCAGTTGCAGACTCTTTATGCTTAGAACTTTCCTTTTTGCTAAAGCAAATAATTAGGGCTGGATCAGGTAACTCGGAATCCTCCCTTAGTTATGCTGCAACAGGTGTAGGCTGCGGGGGGATTCCCATGAGTATTTCTTCGTCAGTCACCTTTCTCACTCAAAATGCGTTAATACAGTGGTTCCCAAACTTTTTTTGCTAGGCCCCCCTTTGTTTTACAAGAAAAATGTTCGCGCCCCCCCACCACCTGGGAACATATTTGGCGATGCTTCATCTCCTGCTTTGCTTTTGTGTGGGAGCCCCGTCAAAAAACCTGTCAATTATGGTGACAGTGTCCTCATTTTTTTTTCTTTTCATACCGCACCCCCCCCTGCAATGGCTCTGCGGGCCCCACACTTTGGAAACCTCTGCATTAACAGACCTCTCTGCATTGAATCGTACTTATTATTAATCTCTGTCTCTCTTCCACAGCATGTCTTTTATCCTGTCTTCCTTCTCTCACCCCAACCGGTCGCAGCAGATGGCCCCGTCCCTCCCTGAGCCTGGTTCTGCCGGAGGTTTCTTCCTGTTAAAAGGGAGTTTTTCCTTCCCACTGTCACCAAAGTGCTGCTCATAGGGGCTCATATGATTGTTGGGTTTTTCTCTGTGTGTATTATTGTACGGTCTACCTTAGTGCCCTGAGGTTGTTGTGATTTAGTGCTGTATGAATGAATTGAATTGAACTGAACCACACAGGGGGTGGGTAGAATGGGGCTGTCATGGTGGGAGAATGAATACACACACTGGAATATATTTTGGGTTTTTTTGTGAGGACCTTCACTGAGATTCCTCTTACCCCTAGGTTTCACTAAGAACAAACAAATACTCTAACATAAACAACCCTAGCATAAATCTCATTCTAAATGTTATCTTAACACCAGGCTTTAATCGTCATACATGAGTAAAACCTGGTGAGAGCCAGTCATAAAGTTCTTTTTGCATCTTGCATTTTTAGCATCTCTACAATAACTGATGTTTTGTTCAAATCAATTTTATTTAAACAGCACCAAATCACAACATCAGTTGTCTGAAGGCAAGGATGGTATTATAACCAGTTATTATAAATAAATAAATGTTGCAGTGAACACAAACACAAATTTCTGTTTATTTTTCCAAAAACTATCATAATTAATCTATGAAACACATTTACATGCAAGTTTAATTCTGACTTTTCTGTATATTTATTAATCAAGCAAATTACTCAACAGACCTTAATCATTTGTAAATTGAGCTTGTGCCTCGGAGAAAGTGTTCCAGTTCTTTAAATTACAAAGCAGCTGTTTTCTTAGTGTTCTACAACTTGAGGAAGCTTTAGCTGTTCAGTCGGTAAAGGTGAATCTGTACTGTGTGCAACATTTCTTTATCCTTTAAAAATGGAAACTGCAGTTGCGATCAGTGTCTCACCTAGCCTAGGGGAGGTGATGGTATTTGCATTAATTTTCTCATCACAGTTCCCACTGTGACAGGATCGATATGTTGGTGGTCTCAGCATCACAGAGCAGTTGTTACCATGTCGACCGGTCACCTTGTGCATACACTGAACCACCCGTGACTGCAGTCCCTTTCCACAGGATGATGAGCACTGAAACAGCAAATGAAAAGTGCCAGTTTGCAGAGGTTTTACTAAACTTGGTTGATTTTTAAATGGAACAGTAAAATTATCATTTTACAGGTGAGAACTCTTAAGAGCAAGGAAATACTACAGTAGGAATTCATTTATTCATCTTTTAACAGCATTGTTTTAAACAGAGGTAGATTATTTCAAACACTTATTCCCGAGGCTATAACACAGGGTGAATAGTCTACACACATTCTACCATGGGAGAGATTCATTTGGCAATGATTTATGTACTTCACTGCAGAAGTATATCTGTTGTTGTCATTTTCATATATACACATATTAACCTTGAGCATGATGACGAGGAATGAGGAATAATTTCCTTAGGGATTAATAAAGTATTCTGATTCTGATTAAAAATGTAAAGTGCATTAAAATTATAAATGAAAATCAGGATAGAGTCAAGAATCAAGATTTAGCCAACTTCAACGTTATACAATAATAAGAATATTAAGATTAAGAACCGGTTCACAGCAGTTGTAAGTCTGCTTGCCTATGGATCCTACTTATAGGTTCCACTTGTGCTGAAATCAGCTGATTTCAGTTTGTGAGCCAGAAGTGAAAACTAGTGGTGCAGTCTACAGCGTGGATATAGACATCACTTTACAAAAGGATAAGAGTACAATGGTAAATTGCAAACTGTCCCCAGAACAGAAACAACCACATTATACTGCTATAACTTTAGCTCTTTACTCCAAAAGTTGATTCTGTTGATTCTGTTCATCTGGACATATATATATATAACCCTCAAGCTCCCAGGCCTCTGGTAGAGGACCCGAGCTTGAAGGATAAACCGCCCGCAGGGGCGTGCTGGGTGTTATATATATATATAGTGGGGCAAAAAAGTATTTAGTCAGCCACCGATTGTGCAAGTTCCCCCACTTAAAATGATGACAGAGGTCAGTAATTTGCACCAGAGG